AGATTAAATTTTAAACATTTGTGTGAAAGCTTGAGGCGCCGAGAAGTCGTGGGACAGGACGAAATTAGCCCGAGTTACAGGATGATTTTGCAAGGGTCACATCCACCGTTATCATGTAAGGTATCATGTAAGTGCCGATTCAGGGGGATTCCACTCCACGTGAAGTTGAGTTATTGATCTTAGTGTAAAATTAATTTATTTGGTGAAAAAAAATGTGCATCCCACAACGGGCATGAATCAAAAAGAGTGGGAATCAGGTCGTTGGCGAAAACTGACGGGTATTTCAGATTAAGCAGTGGGGTAATTAGCGTCAAGTTGTGAGAAAAATGAACATCAGGCCGAAAAAAATTTTCCATCGTGAACCCTGAGAAAAGTGTGAAGCGGTCAGGGAAAGCAAAGTTGGTAATCTGAGAACTACCGTAGTGCGCGTTTCGTTCGTATCAAGATGGCGTAGATTCGGCGTGTAGCCTCAAATTTAACGGTTAGAATGGTTTGCCAGAGGTAAGCTAGATATACAAGGTGTTACATATAAGTATGGAAAAAGAAACGTGGGTGGCAGAGGGGATCCAAACAAGCACTTTTTTCAAATAAACCGATGGTCCAAAGTTTTTGGGAGCCACCCCCACAAAAGTGGTGAAATTTGCATTTCTTCTTTAATTTTTTCTGAGTGACCATAAGAGTTAAAAACAGCGGTGGCACGTCTTTGAATAAGTTTTCGAGTATGCCCTTTCCGATTTTCCAAAATTTATACCACGAAAGGGCGCACCCCTAAATGGGGATGTGAAAGAAATTCTGATTTCGACGAAATTTGGTAGGTACATTTTGAACATGAAAATCACGAATATAAAATTAGTTTTTGAAAATTCGAAAAAAAAGCACTGCAATTCTTGGTCGGATAGCGAAAATGGAGAAAATTCCACGAAATTCGTTGTGTACAGACTTGATGAGTTAAGGAACAAAATTGTCAGTTTTTTAAAATCACTTAGAAAAACAGGCACTCAGGGCCAGAATAACATATACCACTCAAACAAGCAATCAAAAGACAATTAATTAAAGCAAATCTTAATTACTTTACAGTATCAATAATCAACAAACAATCAAACAAACAGACAGACGCACAAATAGACTCAAAATGATGAAGCTTCGGAATTTCACGTAAACCACGCTTCCGCTTACTCGACTTAACGTTCACTTTTATCACATAAAGTAAATTCTTTAAACAATCTCGAACTTTCTTCTACACAACTTTACAATTAAATAAGACAGACTCTGTGTGTTCCATACGACGATAACATGTTCTGATCTTGAAATTTAATTAGCGCAGTGATAAGAAAACTTCTTATCCACGACCGGAGAAAAACATGAGATAAACTTTTATAAATAATTTCCAAATGTTCCTCATCTTACTAACACAAAATAACTTTACAATGAAATAAACAAATTAAACAAGCCACGCATTTAACGACTAATAATCCTGATACAAAACAAAATCGACTTCGACATCAAATGACATGATCCCCACATTTAATTAATTAAAATTGAAATTAGACATACAGGGTGACCCGCTTGGAGTAGTTTTCACAACAATATATAATATTGCCAAAGAAACAGCCTTCATTTTTTTAACAGTGATGTTGTCTAGCTAAAGCATTCAGTTTTTCAGGGAATATTTAACCAGTTCTTCATCTCTACTCCAAATTCAAAAACGTGTACTGAAATCAAGTATTTGGGCGTGCTACGGCAGGTGTACGATCCAACCGTTTACATCTTACAAATAATTGCAGAAAATGAAACCGTAATGAACATCAATAATAGCAATTAAGTAATTGAAAACAGAGGACATCTATAGTTAATTGAAACGTCTAACACGGTGACACTAAGTAAATACCAATGAACAAGCCATTCTGTGTTACAAAGGTAATTGGATTGATTGTCACTTGGAGCTTCCGAATTGACCTTCTACTGAAATGTCTTTCAACATATATGAAACATATTCAACTACAGTTAACAATATCAAATGCTTCGATTACTTCTCCTTTGTAGGCAACCTTTATATGATTTTATTCATTATTGACGCACTGACATTTTCTAAAGGTAAAATCGTATTAATTTGATAGGAGAAGGCAACTGGCTTTGAGCTTGATTTAAAATTAATTGTTTGGAAAGAGAGACACATATGTTACCTATGTAGATTTATTTCCTCGGCACACAGTGTTATTACTTAATAATTTAGGAAACTAATTAATTCATTTCGCATTCTTGAGGTTTGGAATTTAATAAACGTATTAAATTGTAATTCTCAGTCTGAGGCAGTTCGCGCTTTTCTAGAGTGCTGAAAGCAAAGCAAGTTGTAGACAAATCTGTAGAAAATTCATTACAATATAACTATCAACCTACATCGATATCCTTTGATATATGCATACATCGAATCTGGATAACATTGCATTTTACATGGAACAGCCATTTTATATTAGTTCACACCACGTGATATATTACTTCTGGCCTACTTAGAACTTATTAGACCCTAAGACTTATTAAATGTTTCTGTTTTAACTGCAAGTATTACCGATATCCTTTTGGAAGATTATTGTTAACCATTAAATTACTTCGATACCGATTCTAGAAGAATAGACTTATTGAATTTCATGATGTAATTCTTCGCAAGTTTGAAGCGGTCGATTGTGTGCAAATATCGGGATCTACATTAATTTGCTGTCGTTTCACGTAATTTGAACTGCCAAGCAAAGGTGCCATTCATTATAAGAGACCTAGAAAATTGTATCGACTTTCCGTTTCGAGATTAAACGGGCAAGGGATATCACCCTTAGTATTGCTACATAATTAAGATAACCATTTTTATATGCATTAAAAGCAGTAGGACACCGTCTTCTTTAGGGGTGTTATAAAATTTGGATTTTACTGGTTTAAAAAGTCAAAAATTAATTAAAATTGCAAGATTTGTTCACGAGTGGACCAATCTTGAGAAAAGCAATTTTTTTAAATGAATTTATTCTAGATAACGAGAATCTTCCAGGTTGGTTCAATTCGCTAATAAAGGAAATGGTATTCCTGTGTCAACTATTGGGCATTCATACGACCAGAACCACCGCTTCACAACGAAAGTAAAAAGGAATCGTAGAACGTGTGAATAGGACAATGAGAAAGTACTTGTCAAAAGTTGTGTCTGGCCACCAGCATGAATAAGACCAATATCTACATTTATTCCTATTGGCGAACCGTTCTGCAGTGCAGGAATCCACACGACAGGGCCCAGGTTCCGTGTTGTTTGGTCAGAAAATCTGATTACCGTGTGATTTGGAAATTGGAAAGTTCGGCGGAATATGCAGTTAGCTAGCGATAGAATGAAGGTGCGCAGTACGACATGAAGGCCCAAACTGGTGGTTATGAACCCGGAGATCTAGTGTGGTATGGCAGTAGCTCTCCCGCAGAAGATGCGGGCTAGCCCCCAAGTTTCAAAGAGCTTGGGAGGGATCATATACAGTTGTGACGAGAATAAATGACTTATTACGTCAGATACGGAAACTACCAGGAGGAAAAGTAGTGGCACTGAATATAAATCGGTTGGCCATGCGCGCAACGAGTATGAGGAACATTTAGAAGCAACGAATGTGGGGCAAGAGAAACCACGACAAGTCGCTTTCACACTATGCTCTGAAAGTCAAACAGTAGACTTTACTCATTCGGTTTTAAGAGGGGGGCAGTGTAGCGATCCTTCTAGAACATAATCGAGACGCGATCAAATCGATAAAGGATTATCCACCGGCGCTACGGAATGAAAGCGTATATGTGATTAATTCTCTCTATGAAATATTATGTGCCTTCTAGATTTTCCTAGAAGGTTTATTGTTTGCTGTATAGGCAATTTGAATTATATTTAGTCTTACTCTTAACATCGATGTAGAAGCGATAAATATTCGTGTTATATTGTTATAATAATGTAAGTGATAAGTATTAAGTCAATCTATTTAAGAACCGTTGCAAATTAAGTTCGTCGTGAATAGTGTTAATGGCATTAATAATTAATTTTATATCAATGAATCACGAATTAAATTTACGGTACAATATGAATGTTCATGGATGTAGTTTTAGGTGCATTTATTGAATGTTTATGTGAAATATCAAATGAAGTTAACAAAACAACAGCTGATTTAACGCTACTAATTTGCAAATAACAGCCATAAATTATTCAGAAATTAACCTTCACAATTGAAACTTCAGCAATAATGCACGACAGAGGGCGTGTCGCATTAAATGACGACATTTGATTTTGACGTTACGCGTGTTATCGCCTTGGTTAGTAGCAAATGCAAGGGGTGGGTTCTCGGTCCTTGCATTATAAACGTCGTCCAAAAATAGCTTCGCCCTGCCATCGTTAGGAATATTTAAGTTTATTTAAAGCATGTAAGTTAGTCAGAATTAGAACGGTAACGTTTATTAATGTTTGTTATCGCGAAACTTGCACACTTGAGCAGTTTGGAAAGTTACACGCGAAGGGTGGTTTTGAAAATCAATAGCTAATATCTAGATGTTAAAACGTATTCGATCACATTCCATTTTAATTCGTAGTTTATCGCGCCTATTATTAGCAGTCGTGATAAAATGGAAATTCGCACACGCTATTTTGATGATAGAGGTGGGTTGAATGAAAATGAGTATAGGATGCAAGATAACTGAATAAAACATTAAAACCTTGACTTTTCATATTTTCCGTATTTTTAGAATGCTTTTACAATTAAGCCCACTTGTAAAAGATTCCAGCGACCCTCTCGCAATGCCACTGGGGTAATGCATGCGTGTCAGTAGGTTGTTATTTCGGTGCTCCCTACGGACGTCCATAATTCTAAAATCTTCTCTGAATAGAGAGTGAACAATAAGCATTACTTTGATTTATGGATATATAAAGCTTATCCCTTCACAATCTTTACGTTAAAAGGAAATACGTTTTTTATCTATTATGTACGTAACGTAAGTGTACTTACAGGTTTAACGTTATGTTGGAAGAGCACATATTTAAGGTCCTTGGAGCACTGGTAGCTTCGTACGTTTAGCTGCCTCTAAAACGCGAAAGGACAAGTTTCAATGTTTGCATTGTGTATCAAGTCGGCCACTTACCAAGGTATGATTAGTAACTAGAAGCGTAACTGTAAAATTTTTAGTATCGAGCACAGCCAGTCCTCCATCGTCACCTTGAAAAACAAAATGGGTTTCGGAAATCCATGAGTGCGGTAGTCTATGTGGATTTAGTTGCCCCTGTAACAAACACAATAACGTTAAAAAACATATTTATCTTTTAATAAAATATAGTCCTTGAATCAATCACACAGTTGACAGTACTTCTAGTATTATGTAGGTGCATATTGGCTAATCAAAATCGTACTCATTAAAGTTGAGGGAAAGTTACTCTTCTGTTACGTATTTCCACGATATGTACCACTCGTATGGGAATGATCTGTGACCTGATTTTCGTTTTCGGTAGCAAATAATACGCTCTCGTTCATCAGTTGATATATTGATGCGCGTATTTATATAAAGAAATCAAAACATGTCTGCACAATAAGATCGTATAGCACCACAGACGAAGTCACTGGTGATGTAATGAGAAGGTTGCCCTATGTCTGCTTTTAAATGACAAAATCTCTTCTGAAGGGCGCCTAATTTTATGCAACCAAAATAACTTCTTAAAACAAATAAAGATCTGGATGTCATATTAGCTAACTTGAACATTGTAGCTTTGGCTTTCATATTTTTATTTTCGTTCGTGAGCGATGTATTCAACTGAAGAAAAAGTTGATACTGTCATTGGTATAGTGCCAGTGCCCTTTAAGGAATGTAAAAGATTTATTTAATGTGAAGCCAACGCAGCAATATTCAAATTAATTAATATGACAGGCAGATGTTTATTTGTTTTGAGAAGTTATTTTGGCTGCATAAAATTAGGCGCCCTTCAGAAGAGATTTTATTATTTAAAAGTAGACATAGGGAAAAACAATACATGTAAATACGAGTGTAAATACATATGTCTACTTCAGGAGGGTCTAAAGTAGAAATTGTTGGTCTTTTTTTAGATCATTTTGGAAAAAATATGAGATTCACTATGGAAACTAATTTTTCTGTTAAAACAAATTGCGCTTTAGTGGCCGATGGTATGTGACTGATAAGCCCTTGAAGAAACGACAATGACCACCTTCTCAAGGGGAGATATTTTTTAAAGAGGCTTCCACTATGAGGAACAGTAATTCCTACGGAGCTGTAGGATATTCTGTTGTAATTGTTCTCAGGTGTTCGCCAATCTTCCATTGCTACTCAAGCGGGTTCTTTTTCTCATTCTCTCACTGATGGTAGAGATCTGTATTAAGTGACCCTTAGTAAAATTAGAACAAAAGAATAGCATGCGGGCTGTCGTGTGCAGTGCGACATCTAACAATTCGTTGTTTTAGTTGGATCATATTCGATTTGAGTACATTCGTCACGACCATTATTCGTGTTTGGAACGTTTAATATAACTCAAGATTTAGCAGTTATTGTTAAAAAAATTCTTAAATAAATAAATTCTGAAGTGCTAACATCGCGTAAGAATGGTTTATGTTCGGGAAGTAAAAAGTCCCGTTAACATTCAAGGACAGTTACAGTTTGCGCTAATGTAATTTGGTACAAAAGTCATTGCTGCGTAAGATTTTACTGCCATCATCTCAATTAACGTATTAGAAAAACTTGATAAGAAACAACTTCCTTTTTATTACGGATTGAATTTTTCTCATATTTCGTAATAAGTTAAATAAATGTCTCACATTGTTGATCGGACTAATTAAGCCCAGACAGTTACAATAATGAAAATTGTGGTTTGTTTGTAATTCACAAGTACAAGGATCCACCGGAAAATAACTGCGTTCTTGAACTTTTGCTCTATCGAAAGAATTTCTATTTCCATTGCCTAAGCGTACAAGTCAGTGTTCCTTGTTGCTGTAAGCAGAATTGTAATGGACCCATTGCTGTATCAACATTGCTAACCGAAAGCTGAAGTGCCGTATAGCTTACAGGTACAAATTTTGTGGTTTGTGTAAAGATTAAAGGCTTGATCTTTAAGAATAAATCGTGGCAAATTTGATTTAACAATTTTATGTTCTGCAAGAGATTAACCTAGAAGCTATTAAAGCCGTCATTAGTGAACAGTTTAGTTCGTTTGTTCGCTGATAATGACAGCTTCGCTGTTTAAACGCGTTCGACCTTATTGTGGTTTATTGGTGTTTTACTGTTTGTAATCATTTGGAAATCCCCATTTACGCATATGCCGATCAAATAAAAATAATGTGATCGAATCGTACCCACTCACTTTTGAGACTAACTGTAATTTCAGAGAGCAAGCAATTGCAAGCTTAGAATTACCGATTTGTTGTATAAAAATAGGAAGAGAGTTTACCAACTTGAATGTAGCAGATTAAATAAATGTTGTGGTTTAGATGTAGCATGTACTTAACGTTTGCGATTAAACCGCAAACCGCTGGCTGCTGACCCTTGTGGAATCGAATTATGTACGGTGGTTGAATGTATGACGACTTCTTTATTTTTTATTGCTGTATTAACTGCCTTATTGTATGTGTGTAATACAATAAGTACCTACTTATATATGAGACACCCCCACGTGTTCTCATTTTAAAATGCTGTGCATGTAAAACGATCTGCCCATAGATTCATGAATGACTACCGCTAATATCAATTTAGTCGATAGTCATATGTTTAGTTAAAACCGCACGACACCACACATTCTGTGATCGTTTCAGATGCGCCACCCTGTATTATCTTCTCAATTGAGAAAAAAATCGATTATCAAGTACAAGTGGCTAACCTTCTATATTTGTGGCATTCATGAATGCGACTACTCTACTTTAGAATATAAACATCACCTTCAATACCCTTTCTGAAATCTGTTTGTTTATGCCCGCAAGATGGTTTTTCTTGTTCTTTCATTACTCGTGTGAGATCGAAGGCACTTCAACGCATTTTTGTGTGACAGATTAAATTCTTCAATTAGCCAGTTTTGACTCCACCAACAATAATATATTGTCGAAGGATACGACGTTCCCCTTGTCGATACCCACTTCCGACGTCCCGTGCAACACCAACAAATAAGAGTCGAAATGCCGCGCCGCAGTGTGCCGATTCAAAAAAACCGTCGTAACGGAGCATGAGGGACTGCATTTCTGCTATACCTTTACATGCATAAAAAACAGCTGTAACCGGTTTTGCGTAGGGTCTGTTTCGGTTGTAGAATTCGGCGTGTACATAAGTAAAAATCGGGTGGGAAAGAAGCATTCTTTGCCAAATTTGCGGGTCGAATCTAGGCAGGTCGAGTGCGGCATTTTTCGATCGCGTATTGTCTTTTTCGCAAAGCCTTCAAGGCGAAACTACGTCAGTTGTGGGCACTATTGCTATATCGGGCAACAGGAATTCTTCGCCATGATTTCGAAGCGAAAGTATGTGTTAAGCGCGGCATTTATCTAGTAAAGAGTCGTTTTCAATTAAACGTACAAGAAAGATTTGTGAGCCGCACAGTAGTACCGGGTGACCCAATAAGACTGTTCCTCGGCCATATCTCGAGCACTGTCCGTCATATGACTTAGGAGTAAAAAAAAATTATTGGGTAAATCGGTCATGAAGAATCGCTGGAAAATATTTTCAAGTTCTAAAAATGACTAATAGAGGGCGTAACTGCTTAAAATCTTAAATTTTAAAATTACATTTTCTTTAAATTTCGCATAATAAAGTAAAAATTGTTTTTCACATTTTTAAAGAGACCCAGTTTATCTATCATTTTCGTAAAAACAAAAACTCAGTTATTTCAGAAACGAAGATGGTGTGGGGCGTTTAATTGTTTTTGCAATAACCTGTTTTAACTGTAATTTAGTTGAATCCTTCTCCGCCAGGGGGCTAGTTTTGACACTATATGACCCAAAATCCTAAAAAAATCAAATAGAATGATAATGACTTTTTCTATATGAAAAAGTAGCCAAATAACATCCAAAGAGGCCAGTGAAAACCGTTTTTCAAAATCTCGTTCCTAATATTGGGAAAATGAGATTAATTAATTAATTAAAATGCTTAAATTGTATCTTATTTGACGTATTTCCGGTATTTGTTGATGGCGCGAAAGATTGTTTGGAAAAGGACCCTACACTTTTAGGTAACCTTGGAAAAGGACCCTACACGTTTAGGTAGGCCTTGGAAAATTAAACAAATGAAACACGATGAATTATAAAATAATAACAGCCGTGATTTGTAAATTATTCTGCTGTGTTTACATTCAGAATGTGCAGTTTTTTGAATTTGTAATATTTTCTAAAATACCGATTTCTAACCAAGAAGCATTTAATATGCTGGCGATATATTTTGAGTATTTTCAAAATGCGACCATCGCTGCCCACATCTTCTATTTGCGTTATTCGAATCGACCACCACGACCATTGCCCAAGGAATGCTCTTTTCAACGATACCAAATTTGTTACAATCGGTCAAACGGTTAAGAAATTAAAGCAGGTTATTGCAAAAACAATTGAACGCCCCACGCCATCTTTGTGTTTGAAATAACTGAGTTTTTGTTTTTACGAAAATGATAGATAAACTGATTGTCTTTAAAAATGTTAAAAAAGAGCGTTTAGTATATTATGCGAAAGTTAAAGAAAATGCAATTTTAAAATTAAGATGGCAGTTACGCCCTCTGGTGGTCATTTTTAGAACTTGAAAATATTTTCCAGCGATTCTTCATAACCGATTTACCTAATAATGTTTCTTACCCCCAAGTCATACGACGAACGGTTCCCGAGATATGGCCGAAGGCCAGTCTTATTGGGTCACCCGGTACGTAATATTTTATTGTGAAAGTGGAAGATATTTACTGCAACTTTAAAGGAAAACTGTACCGTTGTTTTGACGAAATAATTTTCGCGGAGGCGTTATAAATTTATTGGAACTTCGTCGTGTAATGGAAATTAACTGATATGACGGCTGATTTAGATTCAACCGTAAATACAGTGCGAATATGTTACTTTTTTAATACGTAGTAAAAATTTGCGTGTTATTGCATCATCGTGCTCACAAGCGCGTTGTGATCCAAGGTTCAGAACGTTCATTATATATTCGAAACGGTTCGACGATTAAAAAAAACAAGTTTGTTAATCAAAACCGTGCACCTTTCTCATAAAATTATATACGGGATATTAATAAACTTTACATCAAAAGGCAACCGGTAAAAAAGT